TGTGGATATTCCGGGGGGTCCTGAGGCAATTCAGCGTGCCTTGGATAGACTCTGGGAATGGTCTATCTTATGGTTGATGCCCATAAATAGGGCCAAGTGCTCTGTTCTCCGAATCGGAGCTGCTAATCCTCCCACCCGATATGTTGTCGGCGGTGGTGAACTCCCTGTTGTCACTCAGCAGGTTGATTTAGGAGTCGTACACGCATCAGCACTTCATTCTGGAGACAACTGGAAGAAGGCTGCTTGTCGAGGGCTTCGTATGATGTGGTTTATCCGCCGCTCTTTCGGAATCTTAACGGCCAAGTTGTTTGTGAAGCTATTTTCGGCATTCGTCCGACCCCACCTGGAATATTGTATTCAGGCTTGTCCACCATGTCTTAACCGAGACAAAATGGACTTGGAGAGGGTGTTACGAGTGGGCACTCGATTAGTGCAGGGTCTACGGGGACAGAGGTATCCTGAACGCTTGCTCAGTTTGGGGATGTACTCCATGCACTACCGAAGGATATGAGGGGAGCTGATTCGCACTTACGGTATTTTGACGGGTAAGATTGGCCCGGACTTGTCAGGGCTATTTAGTCCCACTATGTTACCTAGTCTTCGTGGTCACCCACTGAAACTGCATAAACCACGGTCTGATAGGATTAGGACGGAAACTCGTCTATCGCGCCGAGTTATAGATCGCTGGAATTCTCTTCCAGATCACGTGGTTAGGGAACCTACGGTTAAGGGTTTTGCGCGTCAGCTCGATGCTCTTGGGTGGCAACAGCAAACCTTTCCTTTTTCCTAGCTGACTCACCTTCACTTTTCAGTTCATTTTTTATTGACTCAAATATCTTGGTATTCCACTTGCTTAGCTCTTACCACTTTCTCTTTTGCCTCCTGCGTTTACTTTTTTCTCTTTCTTACTTCACGTAACCGACCCAGCAGGGACTGCTAGGGCAGGATACGTGGGCATTAATTGGTTGGCCAGGGTGTGATGCGGTCTTTGTTTTAGGTCCATCAGTACTTCAAAGTTCGCCAACTCCTGGTTCAACGACCCGCCGAAGAAGGAACACTCACGGGATCTATCCTATCGTTCCAGTCCCGCTTGAACTTGAAACAGGGGAATCTCCAGGTCACTACACGAGCACCAAGCAAAAATGGCTATGAGAATGGCAAGAATTCGAACTCAGCAATCAATTCAATGAACAGCACCGGTCGCCTAAGTGTACAATACAATAATTTTAGAAGTTTACACAGGCGAACCGATGAATCTCCAGACGGCTACATTCCTTACCGCTAGCATAGCAACCGATGCCCTCACCATCCGGTATGCTAATACAAGATGAGCACCAACAGCTATCCGTTCGCGTCTGGATGGGTACCCGGTGCAGAGACTCACAGCTTCTCACTGGCCGCTAGCAGCAGCAGCCCCCTCGGTACCGACACACTCTGACAATACTGTCCTCAGGCGGTCCATCACCGAACTAACTGCCTCACTGCCTGGAGTAATCTACTTAACTACACATTCCAACCTTCAGCCTTTCAAGGAACCAGGCGCCAGTACCCATCTGTGCTCCGACGACCCAAACCTTGCGTCCACAGCTACCAACCTTAGCGGCTTAACCCCTCTAAACCAAAAGAAAGGGTGCACTGCCGATCATCTGTTGACCGGCAGCACCCCAATTACTTCCGCACTCATCACTCAAACGGGCCTTGATTGCATCTACACGCGCGAACACGCAACACCAATCCCGACTTCTGTCCACGCCAACGGACCTAATAACCATAACGAAAACATGGCTGCCCGACGACATAACCGATGGTAAAATCCAACTTCCTCCCATGTCAGCTTTCCGCTCTGACCGCGCAACCCCAGGTGGCGGTGTCGCACTGTACTACGACACCACTCACATTTGCAGCATCTTGACAAACACTGCCCTCCAGACACCATGTGGTGTTAGGTTGTGCTAACCGCCAAACACTCCAGCTGTCTTGGTATCATTTACCGCCCGCCTAACAACTCCCCCGAGGACGCACGACTACTGCATGACGTCCATCTTATGTCATCCCAAAAGCGCGCACATTTTCTTATCATGGAAGATTTCAACCTGCCCCATCCATTTCAATCTGTTCCGCCGACTGACCCCTTTGCATCAGGCTTCATTGATCTTCTTCACACGGCCCCGTTGTACAACCACACTTATTAGCCGACCAGATTCCGATCCAACCCACCATCCGTGCTAGATCTCATCCTCATTAACGAAGAACTGATGGTTGAGCACGTTGAGTATGAGGCCCTTCTGGGGCCCAGCGACCATTGCGTCCTCCGTTTCGATTTTATATGCATCGTCGAAAAACCCGTCAGAACGCCAACTTATACCAAACACTGGACTGATTACGGAAAGTTGAACCTTCTCATTTCCGCTAACAGCTGGTCACCAGAACCCCAAACTATTGCCGAAGGCGTGTGATCAACGTTTTGCCTTACCCCACGTGAACTCTGATCCACTACCTCGACTTGCCAACAAGTTTCCATAGGGAAGAGACACCCAGCACTCATCCGAAGTCGTACACATAAGTGGATTGCCTCCATAAATATGGCATGGAGGAACCAACGCTCTCATCCAACGGCTACTCAGTGGAAATATTACCGATCCAACCGTAACAAATGCGTCTATCTTATATGAGAAGATAAGAGGGAGCATCAGCCTCAGCTTATGCGTAAATTCTCATCCAATCCCAAAACCTTGTAAAATCACGTCAATAGTCTTCGATAAGTCAAGCACGGTGTCACCGCGCTGACGACATCCACAGGACTCACAAAGTCAGTGGACGAGGCAGCAGAAGTCTTGTGTCAGCAGTACACATCCACATTCTCCGTTCCATCAATGCATACAACGATAGTACCTTCCTCGGTCTCACCCCCAACTTCCCCGACGACTACTCATTTCACTCCGGAGAACGTCTTGGCGAAACGAAAATCCCTGCGGTTAACGGCCTCTCCTGGCTCTGATGGTTTTCACCCAAGACTCATGCGAGCGTGCGCTGCAGCTTTAACTTTACCCCTAGCGGAGCTGTTCACCCACTTCTTCACGCAAGGCAGTTCCCAATGATTGAAAATGTGGGACTATTACACCAATCTACAAAGGCGGTACTCGCAAAGGTCCGGTCAATCACCGACCGATAACCCTCCTCTCTACCATCTCCAGTGATGGAATCGATCTTCGCAGACGCTTCAATGGATCACCTGGAGGCCCAGATACTGCTCTCCGATTACCAGCACGGCTTCCGGCGGCAACGGTCGTGTCTGAGTAACGTGCTACTTGCCAGGGATAGCTGGATGACTGCTGCCGACTCTGGTTTAGAAACGCATGTCATATTCTTGGATTTCGTTAAAGGTGTCGAAAAAGTTGACCACAACACCCTACTAGACAAAATGTTGTCTTACGGCGTATTCAGGAGCCTTGATGTCATCATCATCAACAGCAGTACATCAGCCATTTGAACTGATGCTTCGCTGCCATACAACCATGACGACCTATGAAATAAAGAATAAGAGGGAGAGAAGGGGGACTTACCTGAAAACCTTAATGCCCTAAGCAAACATTCAGGGTCAAGGCGCTTACACCTTGTGTAGACAACATTCCGTCACAAACAACTGGCTATCGTGCAAAGATAAGGCGGCATCGGCGAGACAGCTTCCTTGCGGCTTTCACTGCCACACGTCATAATCAGCCATTACCCCGCAGATAACTCAGCACCAAACACACTTTAAATAGGCAATCCGATTAGGAGACGGCAGCAGACGCGCCACTGGTGTTGGTTGCGAGCCATGTCCTGTAAAGTCTCGAGCCAAGCACAAGGTGAGTCACGTGGACTCCAACCCGGAAGGCGAGACGGACCAACGGCACCCAGTTTGGTCGTCAGTGACTTCATTTCCCGCTGCCAAGTCAACTTCTGTCCACCTCGAGCCTTGCGCCACCCTACACCTGGCAGATTGAAAAAGGCCCTCCTGGGTAAGCGGTGACCAGGCATACGTAGCACGTGCTCGAGCCAACGCAACTTATTCAGTGCTATCTGTTGTTCTAGGGAGCTAGCATGATTATCACTATCTAGTACTCGCCTACGTACATCATCGTTAGAGTTCATGTAAATCTCCAGATTTTAATCCGATTAAATATACCATTCCACTAGCTCCAATACACCGCATGGATATGGATGGTACCCAACAGCGGGTGAAGAGCGAATCCCCACAGCCCGTTGTAGTCTCCCACATGTGGCGAGTACCGTGGCTCAAAAACCACTGGCTTATTATCCCTTCGGTGACCAAAGATGAGACGAGCTAATCCAGCGATTAGAGTAGGCGGAAGACCGCAATGAACAAGAACGGTGTAATAAGTAATAATGTAAGCTGTAAGCCGTAGCGGTACTTCGCTGCCGCGCAAACACGGCGCACGCGGACCAGTATACAGAGGGGACGCCCATCCCTACGCGCATTCGAACCCGCGCCGGGAGGTCACGAGACAAGCTCTTTACCTCTAGGCTACATGCCGAACGGAGTAAGCGAAAATATCGCAGACCGAGAATAGAACACGAAGAAGTAATTACGGTAAACAAATTAAAACCGATTGCGCACAATAACCCTACGAAAGCCCTCGCGTTTAATACAAGCACACTGGAAAGGCCTTGCAGAGCACACAGCTTTCGAAGACATTTACGCAGCAGACCGATACACAGCAAACCTCCCAGTGGGTACAAGGATCAGAACAAAGCGAGTAAATGAAAAGTAAATTATAAAACAGCAAGGAACAGCAGAAACTCAGGGGACAATTTATCCTCCACGCAGGCGCAACACCAGATGAAGAGTAGACTCCTTCTGAATATTGTAATCAGACAAGGTACGACCGTCTTCCAACTGTTTCCCTGCAAATATCAACCGTTGCTGATCAGGCGGAATGCCCTCCTTGTCCTGGATCTTCGCCTTCACATTCTCGATCGTGTCACTGCTCTCCACATCAAGTGTTATCGTTTTCCCGGTAAGCGTCTTCACGAATATCTGCATACCGCCACGTAAGCGCAACACCAAATGAAGAGTAGACTCCTTCTGAATATTGTAATCAGACAAGGTACGACCGTCTTCCAACTGCTTCCCTGCAAATATCAACCGTTGCTGATCAGGCGGAATGCCCTCCTTGTCCTGGATCTTCGCCTTCACATTCTCAATCGTGTCACTGCTCTCCACGTCGAGTGTTATCGTTTTCCCGGTAAGCGTCTTCACGAATATCTGCATACCGCCACGTAAGCGCAACACCAAATGAAGAGTAGACTCCTTCTGAATATTGTAATCAGACAAGGTACGACCGTCTTCCAACTGTTTCCCTGCAAATATCAACCGTTGCTGATCAGGCGGAATGCCCTCCTTGTCCTGAATCTTCGCCTTCACATTCTCGATCGTGTCACTGCTCTCCACATCAAGTGTTATCGTCTTCCCGGTAAGCGTCTTCACGAATATCTGCATACCGCCACGTAAGCGCAACACCAAATGAAGAGTAGACTCCTTCTGAATATTGTAATCAGACAAGGTACGACCGTCTTCCAACTGTTTCCCTGCAAATATCAACCGTTGCTGATCAGGCGGAATGCCCTCCTTGTCCTGAATCTTCGCCTTCACATTCTCGATCGTGTCACTGCTCTCCACATCAAGTGTTATCGTTTTCCCGGTAAGCGTCTTCACGAATATCTGCATACCGCCACGTAAGCGCAACACCAAATGAAGAGTAGACTCTTTCTGAATATTGTAATCAGACAAGGTACGACCGTCTTCCAACTGTTTCCCTGCAAATATCAACCGTTGCTGATCAGGCGGAATGCCCTCCTTGTCCTGAATCTTCGCCTTCACATTCTCGACCGTGTCACTGCTCTCCACATCAAGTGTTATCGTTTTCCCGGTAAGCGTTTTCACGAATATCTGCATGGCCGTACAGGGAGCCGCAGCAACGACGTTCTAATCGAAATGAGCGATGTCGGCTGGTTGTTTACTTAATGATGTGTGTCTGGAATTCACTGTCTCCTTGACCAATGGCGGAGATCCACGATTGTTGGATCAATGGCGCTTCTGGCCAATCAGCTGTGCATACACGTGCGCACGAGCGTTATGCTTACTGGCTATTGGTGACTTGCAACGTTCTGTCGTCCGTTCGCGATCGGTTTTGCAGCCCTCATGGGTTGCTGCAACGCGTCGGGACTGCATATAGGATATTGATTCGGACCAATATGCTACCCGTTCGGTCTGATTACGGATACTGAAGGGGGAATTTGATGAAGACCTGGCGTCCGTATGCTAAATAGGGATCAGGGATACACGTTGAACAAAGCGGGCGATCCGATCACAACAAATGTCAAAATGTCAAGTTCCGAATTTGGAAGCTGGTAACTAGCTGAACACATAGCGATCATAGGTATCGTGTCGTAAAACAAACGCAGCATGATCACTGTTATTGCGGTACTTGGTGTTGCAGCCACCTCGAGTTAAAGGGTGAATGGATAAGTTGTAGATAAATTACGTGATCACACACACATCTTTATGACATGAGTCGGCAGAGCATCGCCCGATGTAGGTATTTCAATAAAGCAAGAAGAAACAACATTTTAACAGAATTTGCTGAATTCAGTAATTTGGCGTATTCTGCTCAGCTGTTTACATACAATGAGTAGGTATTTCAGTTGGAAGGGATCGGCGCTGTAATGATTCGGTGGTTGGGTTTACAGCCTTCACGCGCAGGCATCAAGTCCTAGTCCCAGCGGTACATGGGCTGGCGGGTGACCTCTTGAGATGGCATGACAGCGAAGTAAATGTAACACTGCTGTACTGTCGACACCACCATTTATAAATAAATCAATAAATAAACGTTTTATTCCTCGACAGTGCGAGGTACAGGCCAATTGAGTGGTCTTATCAACCTGTACAACGTGATCGTATAATGAATTTTAGGTGTTTTGTTCAATGATTCCCATATGGGTTTTCGAAGTGATTAGCAGTTTGAAAATAGAGAGATTACAAAACTGGGAACAATGTAATGTAGATTTAACCGAAATTTCAAGAAAACTAATACGGCCATCCATGGAACTGTCCCCAGGGGACCTTCTTCCATGCAGGGTATTCCCTCGATAAGTTTAACCCGCACTTCCATGCTCCAATTTACTCTGTGCGATTGTGGCAAAATAGTAATGAACAATGATATATTACAGGTAAAAAAGCGATTGCTTTACAAGTCCCGCAGGATGGTTGAAGTGAACATAAGTGTAAATCATCAATTTAAGCGTCTAGTAAATTCAAGTGCCCCTTATTCATAGAAACGTTGTAGAATGTGTACTAAATTGTTACTGTAGAGTAATATGGGAAGTAATATGGGGAAGGCATGTCTTAAGAACAAGAGAAACGACAACTCTTATTCGTGTGCCGCTTTCTTGGACTGGGGTAAACTGATGAATGCAGTTGTAATATATCCGAAGCTATATTCCACAACAGCAGTGTGTAAATAGTGAAGCACAAAAGCTGAGAATGAGCACAGTTTTTTCGCGTTTGTTTGACATGGACATCGCTGATTATATAGCGTAACGTAGGTGGATAAGCGAATCATCCAGACGTCTTTTAAATACCGTTAGCGTGAGGGAAGAAACAACGTATGTGGGAAGAGCGTTCCAGTGTTCGCATACACGAATAGGCAATTAGACTGGGTGTAACATGTTCATTTTTAAGGGCTGTTTTATGCATGCATTATGGGCGATGAAGCCTTAGCCCGTTCCGACATGCGGATCAATCAAGTGTGGCACTTTTTGTTTTAAGCCAGCGAGTCAGTAGCAATATGATTTGCATGGGTGTACTTTTTTATTTTGGAAGTTGTGATCCGTCACCACAAGAGATCAGCCTGTAGCGACCTGGAGATTCCCCCGTATGACTGTGTAAACTATTCTAAAATATTCAAATTATAGCTTTCTTATGTATTAGGGAACTATTCGGTTTGCCTGTTGGAACGTTGTCCCCTTTTGTTGGAAATAGGAAAAGGATCTCCGCCTTTGGCGCGCGGCTCGACTGCGAACGACGCTCTGTCAACGCACTCGACGCCAACGACATTCTCCCTAGCTAGCTCTCTCCGGGTGCCCTATTTTTAGCATTAGCTAACGCTCCTCCCGTCCAATAAACTTCTTCCCTAGCTTACTTTTGTGTCTTCTACCCATTCTTTTTGGTTGGCCGTCTAGTCGCGTACCGGATATATAGCGCACGATCCACGCGCTATACTTGGTGACCCCGAGAAAAAAACTATTTTGGTGAGTTCGGTACTAATATTACTTTTCAGATCCGGTGACTTATTCTGTCTACCCTTCTACTTTTACTTTTTACTACTTGCATTCACTTTCACACGCTCCGTAATTTTTCACCATGAAGGTTATTCACTCACCTTCTGACGATCAGGTTGGTTCGTTCAGTTTTCCTATCCCGCCTTTCCGTGATACTCACCCTAAGGCCTGGTTTAACCAGCTAGAGTCCATTTTTTCGTTACATGGCGTCTAGTCGCGTACCGGATATATAGCGCACGATTAACGCGCTATAAGCCCAGCCATGACCAACAATGAAAGGAAGAAGATAATGTATGGGGAATTAAAAAATCATAATACTGAATACAAACGTTTGCCGATAGGCCAATCAATTTGATGGAAAATCTTGGCGAGTGACAGCGATGGTACACAGACATCAGCTTGGAAGGCGTAGTGCATCTTCGAACCAGTGCGTCAAAGGAGTAAACAGAATTGGTTAGACGGAGTGCTAGGAGTAAGATGGTTTATAAATACATACTCAAGCATTTACCAATATGTAGCTAACCTTATAAGATTGAAATGAATAGGGGATATGGCGACTTTCATATGTATTCAGGACCTTTCTCATACAGATCAGCTAGAGTCATCGTTTGGCCAAGTATTGACCAGATATTCGAAACAGTCAGGTGAATATTAGTCATACGTGTGAATTGCAGATAGGTAGTGCAGTTTCTAATACTCGATGGAAGTTTGTTCCATATTAACGGATATTTTACAGAGAAAAATTTGAGCGGAGCTTTGTGCGAGACTTTGGTATTTGCACTTTGCGCTCGCTGTTTCTTGTGTCTGCAACTCGGGTTGTGGCTGAGCAGTGAAGCTTAATCCCAATAGTAAGCGGTATAGAAGGCACAGATTAAGTTTGAGTCTGCGTAGCTATAGCGGCTCCAGTTTTACAGCCTCGCAACGCTCACGGTATGTCATAGTACTAGGCATATTCAAAAACATTGTGAATGATCGTTGAATGTTTTCTAGTGCTATAATATCCACTTTTCTCAGATTACTATGCACTATGGCACAGTACTCAAGTTTCGGCCTAACACATATTTTAAAGGCTTGAAGCCTGGAATCCCTCAAGATAAGAGTTCGACTTATGTAGGCGATCACTTTTCTGGCAGAAGCCTTCAAGCATATAACATGCTCAACAAAATTAAATGAGGTAGAATATTTTAGACCAAGGTCTCGGACTGTGTCACACACAGGAATAGGGGTATCGTTTAATGTAAGGATGTTCAGAGAAGGGCCACAGCCGTGTTCAATAGATTACTCTTGTCAGTGGCAAAGTGCAACTTCCAGGAGTTACTCCGTTGCGGACAAGTCAGAGTGGATACAGGCTATTGGAACTACATTGCCCAGTGGCGGAACAATACACAATTGTAACATCATCAGCGAAAAGGAATGGCTTCCCGTAGGAAATTTCATTATGATCGTTGCAATAGATTAAGAATAAAAGCCAGCCTAGCACGCTACCTTGATTCACTCCACTAGAGATTTTGGTGGCTTCAGATGTATAGTTACTGATTTTGACTACTTGCTTTCTACCTTCAAGGTAGGAAGACAACCAAACTAGAAGCGAATTTGTGGTACCATAGGACATAAGCTTCCGCAAAAATAAGTTGTGTGGGACACGGTCAAAAGCCTTTTCGATGTCAAGTAATATTACGATGATGGCACTTCCGGCGTCTCTTGCTCTAGTCACATAATCAAGATAATCTAACTGACAGGTAGTGCATGACGTACCTTACAAAATACCGTGCTGATGTTTACTGAGAAGGCTCATAGAACTCAAATATTTTATTATGCGTTCTTTAACTCACCTCTCCATGATTCTAGAGATAATAGATGTGTGGTGGATTCGACGGTAATTTTTTTACATCTTGCATAGATCCACTTTTGTGTCTTGGTATTATAGTTGATTGTTTCCAGTGCATAGTGTTTTGTGCCTGGGTTCCCCAGTCGCGTTAAAAGAAAGAGTTCACACCGCTCTGCGCACAAACGTTCTATTCGCAACTCTGAGGCAAAGTACAACAAGCTGTATATTCAAAAACCCACTAGTCCACCCGATAGATCGCCTGATCAACCGCACTGAGGCAAGCGATTCGGTTCCCCCAAGCTTTCAATCACCATCACGCATAGGATACTCCCCATTGAGCATGGAAAGTGTAAATACATTAAGCAAAATCAGGGAGATGTCTGGACCTCCGTGCTTTACCAGTATTGGAGGGATGTTGTCAGGGCCTGGGGAGCATGACGGCCGAACTAATCTGAGTTGGAGACATATGTCACTAAGTGTAAATTCAACAGTCTGGAGTGTATTACTCCCTCTGTGTATCAGCTTGAGCTGAGGATCTTCTTTCGCATTAGCGCCATAAGTAGACATAAAGTAGTCATTGAAGATCGAACATATGATTGCACCGTCGGTTATGGCAGTTCCATCAGTTTACAGTCGAGTTTATACAGCTTGATTTTCTATTCTGCCTACGGTCCAAAAGTTTTGAGATACAGTCTACCACGGCGCCCTTCAGTACCATTACCTGCTCAGAGCATAGCATTTTGTGGTGGTCTTGGTATAACGCTGTAAGCAATCTGGTGTGGAGCATC